ACCGCGACGACCGCGTGGAGGCCGGGGAGAAAGTTCACGCGGTGGGCAACAAGATGGAACTGCTGCTCAGGCGCGTCCACGCGAGTCTCGCCGCCCTCGACCGGGACCTCAAACGGCAGCAGGTAGGCGGCGGCGCCCAACTCCGCGGCGCCCTCTGCCGCACGTTAACCATGTGACCGGGACGTTTTGTGCGCGCGTGTGTGTCAGGAGGAAGGGGAGGAGCCAGCGGATGACGGCCAGGTGGACATTCAGAAAAGGTACTTTCTCGTGCGTGTCGTTTTCAAAGGATGGCTCGTTTATCGTCACGAGCCTCTCCCGGCCGTCAGCGGGCAGTCGCAACCGGTCGCCGTCCGATCGCAGCGGGAATGAAACAAACGGTTGAAAGATGACAAAGCTTTTTTTTTTTTTTTTTTTGTAACGTTAGTTTCGGGCACCCCATCGTATTTTATTTTAACCACAAAAATGGACCTCCATGATTTTTACAGGACAGCGCCGAATGATGGCCTCGTCAAAATTTGTGTCATCGGTTTTTTTTTTTTCAATGCAGCTTCTCTCGCGGACGCTAAAACGAAAGCGATCCAGGAGTGAATGAGGTGGCAAATGGAATGATTTCTTGCCAACATTTTTCAAGCTTCCTTTGCCGTTGGCATGCGTTGCGCCACCGCCACCGCCAACGCATGCAAGCCATTTTGTCGCCCGGCCCTCCTTCCGTCCTCGACGCGCGGCCGATGACGAGCCGCCATGCCGACTGGTGTTTGTTTGCTCGTAGGGGGCGGGACGACGGCGGCGGCGCCCCCCCCGGCCGCCGCCCCCTGTTGCAGCGCGTCCTGCGGGCGGCGTTGCCGCTGCACGCGCTCTTCTTTCTGCTGCTGGCGTTGGGCTGCTTGGTGGCGCCGCCGGACGAGTGGCCGTCGCCCTCCGGCTGCTCGCTGGCCAACAACTTTGCGCGCTCCTTCTCCCCCATGCTGCGCTACACCAACGGACCCCCGCCCACCTGACCCCCGCCCCCTCCGCCCCCTGCGCCGGTGTATTTGAAAAGGTGATTTGTTAGCTCCTTTCCAAAATCTGCCGCACGTTGTGTTGAGTGTGCTCTGGTTTGAAAAAGACTTTGAAGGGTCCCGAAACGGGCTTGCCGTCCGTCCACACGCTTGAGGCTGCGCCGAAGCCTTCTCCCGCTCAGCAGCCCGCAGCCACGTTCAACCGCGACGGCGCCTCACGCGCGGGCTGCGAGCGAAGCCGCATTATTTTGGAGACAACGGCAACCGAAATCGACACGTTTGAGTGCCGAAGCTATCTCGGCGATTTCGGGCTGCCGACTAAGAACATGACGTGCGTTTCTTGGAATTGGCCGCAGTTTTTCACCGATTTTTGAACCACCGATGGAGCGACGATTGACCTTCCTTGACGGAAGGTGCCCTTGTCCTTTGCCTAATTGATGATTTTTGCACGAAGAAGGCCGTGCGCCGACGAGCGCCGTCTTTCACCTTGTGGCCTCCAAAATCAAAGCGGCCCGTACGGAGACGCGACGTTCCAAGACGCGTTTGGCCTCGTTCCGCAAAGATGGCGCCTAAAGGTCAGAATCTGCGTATCCGCAGCACGAAAGAAAAAAAAACCCCAACATGTCAAAAAGTCGGGCCAATTTGGAATCGCCAATGTCATTTACAGACATCCTGAAAACGTTGTGGGCACCAAAGTGTGTGCGCGTGTTGAGCAGTGTCAGCGGTCTGCTTTGATGGTGGGCAACGGACGTCAGAGGCGACTTTCTGTCGAGAGGCTGAATTTGGGGGGTTGGGCCAATTTGGGGTCTCCAAACGGTGCATCGATTGTCCAAATAAGGAATTCAATTGATCAGGCGTGAGTTGTCAATGAAATGAGTCATAGTTGCACCTCTAAAAGAGACGCTTTGCTCGCAAATGATGCTGGCCGACAGAGCAGGGGAAGTCTTCGTCGACAGTGTGGACAGGCAAAAAAACAAACAAAAAAAAAAAGCTGGAAAATTGTGTTTGCTGTGTTTGTGTGTGAGAACAACACCGGTGGACAACTGCGTTCGTTCGCTAAACAAGCGAGCAGATTCACAAGTGTGGCGTCCCTTTTCTGTTGTCACGAGTCGACGACAATGAAGTCTCCACGAGCTACAAGACGAAAACTCTCGCTCGCGAGTGTCAAGTGGCTGAAAAGCGAAATCCTCTTCAAAAGAAGCCGCCGGCATCTCTTGATGACGTTTCCCCAAATCCAATTCACTCAATTGGCGCAAAGTCGAAGTGTGATCGCATGTTTTCCCGTCGTCGTTTTCCATGATTCCCCAACATGTCAAAAAGTCGGGCCAATTTGGAATCGCCAATGTCATTTACAGACATCCTGAAAACGTTGTAATTTGGAAACGCCAATGTCATTTACAGACATCCTGAAAACGTTGTGGGCACCAAAGTGTGTGCGCGTGTTGAGCAGTGTCAGCGGTCTGCTTTGATGGTGGGCAACGGACGTCAGAGGCGACTTTCTGTCGAGAGGCTGAATTTGGGGGGTTGGGCCAATTTGGGGTCTCCAAACGGTGCATCGATTGTCCAAATAAGGAATTCAATTGATCAGGCGTGAGTTGTCAATGAAATGAGTCATAGTTGCACCTCTAAAAGAGACGCTTTGCTCGCAAATGATGCTGGCCGACAGAGCAGGGGAAGTCTTCGTCGACAGTGTGGACAGGCAAAAAACAAACAAAAAAAAAAAGCTGGAAAATTGTGTTTGCTGTGTTTGTGTGTGAGAACAACACCGGTGGACAACTGCGTTCGTTCGCTAAACAAGCGAGCAGATTCACAAGTGTGGCGTCCCTTTTCTGTTGTCACGAGTCGACGACAATGAAGTCTCCACGAGCTACAAGACAAAAACTCTCGCTCGCGAGCTGGCGAGTGTCAAGCGGCTGAAAAGCGAAATCCTCTTCAAAAGAAGACGCCAGCATCTCTTGATGACATTTCCCCAAATCCAATTCACTCAATTGGCGAAGTGTGATCGCATGTTTTCCCGTCGTCGTTTTCCATGATTTGGGCCATTTGAAGGCGGCACGCTTGGTGGCCGACTTGGAAGCAATCAAATGCATCCCAAAGTCATCAATGCCTCCTTCCGTCTTTCTGACGAAAGCCAAAGTCCACAAAAATCAAAAGGCCGCGAAATCAATGATTGCTTTGTGACAAGTTGGTTTTGGCGCGATGCCCAGCGCGCCCTCCGATGGCCAGACAGCAAAAAGCATCACAAGTAGAAGAGCAAGCGCGCGTCATCGCGTGTGCGGTTTGATTCGTGCGCAACCCGTGAACGGAAACCCCCCCCCCCCCCCCCTCCTCCTCCTCATCGCCACGGAACACAAGAATCTGCAATGTTTTCATTTGTCGGCTTTTATTGATGGACTCCTGTACCGCCACGTGGTCAATAAACACTTCGTCACTGGACTGCGTGCGTGCGCGCGGCCTTCATTGAACGCACGCAGGAAAGCAAGGCGTCCTCGCGCGTACGCCGACGCGCGTCGACGACATTGTACGCGGGGCGGAGAAGTTTCCGGGAAGGCCGTCGGTTGTCGTCACGGCAAGCTGACGCGCGACGCGGCGGCGGCTTCATACGTCAAATCAAATCGTCACACGAGAGAAGTTCGTTCCAGTGACGAGACGGACAAACACGAAAAGCGAAGAGAGGTTGCGAACGCTCAACTCGTCACAAAAAACCTCAACGACACTCGAGCAAATTCAGCCGCGGTTCAGTCAGTCCAGTCCGCCGCTCAGAGAAGTTTCCGCGGCGATGCCGGCGGGAAGGCCGAAGTCCGAAGAAGGGCCCCGGGGTCCCGAATCCAACATCCACGCCTCCGCGGGGACGAAGCTGAGGGGGGGCAAACGCAGAGCGAGCGCGCGCGCGCGCGCGAGACTGTCAAGCCGATTCGATGGGTTTTTATTTTTCAAGAGCCGCGGCCGTCCACGCAACACCAACCGGGCGGAAGGAAGCGAGCGCTAAGCGAACAGGGCTAAAGCTAACTAACTGACGTCGTCCGGCTGGAAAGACGGCGGCAAAACGCCGCCTCCTCGGATCAACCTTGGACGTCGGAGCGGAGCCGTTTGCTTTCCCGAGCGGTTGGGGAGAAGAGCGCCGACGCGCGGGACGACTTCGATGCCGTCGAGCGCCGAGAGCTGCGTCGCGGTCAAAGGTAAGCCGCTTTGGTTGACGCTGTTAGTCGATCGCGACAGCCATGCTGGAAAACGGCGCGCCTTCCCTTCGGTCGTTTCAAGCGGACGCACTCGGCCGCTCTCGCCGTACGAGAGCCCGAGCTGCCCTTCACCGAGCTATTCTAGAAGCGAGCCGTTTTAGGCCGCAAACGGATGAACGTTTGAGATGGCGCCGAAAAAAACTCACAAAGGTCGACTAATTACGACATTGAAGAAACGGGAACGCCAGTCTGCTTTTTCGTCTCACCAAACTCACCTGTGACGTAGGCACGGAACACGAGAGCGAGACACGACGGGAGGCGCGATGACGAGGCAAGTTGGTCGTGAGATCGAGAGGCTAATCGCTAAGAAAACGATGAGCAAACAGTCTTGGTTAGTCTGTAATTTACTGGTTGGCGTGGTGACTTTAGGAATGAAACATTCGTCACGAGGTGTAGCGATGCTCATGTTAACTGTTGGTTTAACTAACGATGACGTGGGGTCGATTCTTTCTTCAAATTGAGAGCAGACGACACATGCATCGTTTTGGGAAGACATGTCAAGCCAGTCAGTACAATGATTAGCCGTCAATTCATCTTTGCAGCGTGAGATTGGAAAAAAGGCTGATTTTGTGGGATGCTGTATTCATGATGCCATATGACGACGCCATGTTTTGATCCGTTTCTCTTTGGGGATGAACCTGCAGTACACAGCTGCTGATCTAATGGTCATTGTTCATGCATCGTCTTCAAACGTTTACCCTTGAAACATTCTACTTTGGACTCTCACAATTCTTGACGATGAAAATCGGTCCAAATCGAAAAACGGGTTCCCATGAGGAACGTTTACGGAACCCCAAATGAGTTTCCCGTTGGGTCATCCGACGCAACCGAAAAAGGGTTACCGTGAATTTCCGAAATCCTCAGGCCTGCTCCTGAACGATTTCAATTTTTGCAGCATTTGTTGGTAATTGTTTGGATGTGTTGTTGTTTGTGTTCTTATCATATGCAATTGAAGAAGTAGACCAATTCGAAATTTGGGACTCTCTCAATGCATCATGGGACTCCTCCTTTTCTGATCAGCGAGCCCCGCAGGACTCGCCGGGGGTAAACCTTAAAACGGTCACTCTCGACTAGATGTGTGGACGTAAGACACAAAAACGGATTCAAATTGGCAAGAGAAGTTTGCCGTCGAGCCTTCATTGTTCATGCATTGTCTTCAAACATTTATTTACCCTTGAAACATTCTACTTTGGACTCTCACAATTCTTGACGATGAAAATCGGTCCAAATCAAAAAACGCGTTCCCATGATGAATGTTTACGGAACCCCAAATGAGTTTCCCGTTGGGTCATCCGACGCAACCGAAAAAGGGTTACCGCGAATTTCCGAAATCCTCAGGCCTGCTCCTGAACGATTTCAATTTTTGCAGCATTTGTTGGTAATTGTTTGGATGTGTTGTTGTTTGTGTTCTTATCATATGCAATTGAAGAAGTAGACCAATTCGAAATTTGGGACTCTCTCAATGCATCATGGGACTCCTACTTTTCTGATCAGCGAGCCCCGCAGGACTCGCCGGGGGTAAACCTTAAAACGGTCACTCTCGACTAGATGTGTGGACGTAAGACACA